CTGCTCAGGATTAGTCCACCGTCTTCTGGTAGGATCAACCTTCGAATCCCTTACCAAATACTTTCATTCGAAATTGCTCAACCACGCCTAGGTCTTATCAACACCCCAACGGTACTCTAACCATAACAGTTCAGCTTGCATTCTCGACATGTAACCGCCTAGCTACATTGACACTAGTGACCTTGGGTCACAGAGCAGAAGTGCATTTGAAGGAAGACCAGACATTTTATCGTATCACATTCTGTGGTAGGATTGTCGATGAAGCAAGGTCGCAATCTACTACGTTGCTTATTTTTCGTTTATAAGTAGGTTTTTGAGATTGCTATTACATCATTTATATATGAAGTGTATTTGCCCTAATTTGTTTATGATGATAAGGGGACTGGTAGTTGAATTTACCCACATTGATCTGAGTAGGCCTTACGTTTCTATTGTATTTGAGAAAGAACGACTATGCAAATTCAATAGAAACGTAAGGTATATTCATATCTTTGGGGGGAAATTCAACTACCAGGCCCTTATCACTATAAACGAAATGGTATGAATACACTTCATATATAAACAGCTTTTATCCACCTTTCCGGGAGGCTGATTATTGAAATATTTAGCATGCATCAAAACTGGAATTCTTAATGACTCTTAAAAGCTTTCGATATAATTGAATTGAATGTTTTATTTACATTTTTGATTGCCGAATAACAGGCATTACATCCTGAGAGGAATTTGCTTATGCGAAGTTCTCATTTTATTGCTTACTGGTTGTTGTTCTTCATCGCAGATTCAGGCCATTTACTTAGCCATCTGTTTATGATTTTACTCCACCTATATTAGTTATTCCGCCAAACAGTTATATTAAACATTTACTAGTATCTGAGTGGAATCATTTAGTTTATGATAATTAATCTCTTAGGGTCATTAAAGCCTCGATTATCTATCACTTTAATATTTCAAGATTATTCAAACCTTTATTTCTAACTACTAGGTAAAAATCACAGTCCAAAGCATAGTCCATGGCGACTTTGCGTCATGAAATCCTCTTTAGATAGGGAACCATTGTTTTTGTTGGTATTTATGAATGATGATAAATAGATATTCAGATATTTTTTTGTTTCACATTCTTATATATCTTCTCGAAACTATTTTTTTTCCGAGCTTAGGCCTCCTCGCCAGACGAAAAGGCTCTTGTAGAAGCCGCAGCCAAGGCAGGAATTGTGTATACCGGAAAAATGACTCAAGCCGGTCATTTATTTTACACGGTTAAGCGGCACAAAGATTTACTGAGTCATGAAGGGGAAGTCATAAGCGAAACAGATTCATCCCCTGATAATGAGGAACTTAGCGTTGCAGATGGAAAAGCTTACCCCCAGGTATCGTTGGTCACGAAAGATATATGTTCAACCAAGCGCAGTCATTGTGAAACCTACCAGATCGACGCCATACTTGACTTCGACTCTACTCGTAAACGAATGACAGTCTTAGCAAGACATCCGGATGGTGCCTGTTATATTCATAGCAAAGGAGCGGAGACCAGTATGCTGGTAAGTCCAAATACTGTATTATCTAAACTATTGGTCTCTTATGTGGATCGTCCACAAATGTTATCAATTCTGAACTGGCTAAGTCCGATGTCCCAACTTTGGCGTAATTTTTTTAGTTATACTGGATGAACATTGAGGCGTGATGCCCAAATCAAGGGCCTAGTCTGAATGATATTCTACATCATTCAGCCATGATATTTTGACGTTTCATATTGTATGAAAATTCTAGTTTCGATAAGGCCGAATTTCGAATTCCCTTCACCTTATTTTTATGCGAACTAACGTTCAATAGAAATGTTTCGTTGATATTTATGTCTACATTTATATGACTTATCCATCAATATGCCATATGTCTTAAGGGTTCCCATAAAAAAATTATTTTCCATTTACGCTTTTGTAAACTAAAATATTTGTTCAAGCTTTATCATCTAATAGCTTCTCACGTTTGTTGAGACTGTTGTAGTGCTGGGAGTATCAATGTTAGCCTGATGATTGGGTTTACCTACAGCGCCAACTTCTTAGATTAACGACAATTTCTTTATTGGTCTGCTACTTCACCGGTATGAGAACTGCTTTGTTATTAAGAAAATCATTTTGGGTACTGTTAGAGGGAATAATGGTATATCTGTTGAGAACAAAAAATTAGAGGATCGTTGGAACTAAACAGTTTATGGACCACTTTGCATGTTAGGAAATGGGCAAGAACTTGTACAAGGAGTACTTAAGACTAAATAAGGGATTGACTCATCTTCAAAAGAAGTTAACTCAACTAATATCTTCCATTTTGTTCCTAATTAATGTCACGTTTTGTTATATTGTGTTCAAAATGCTTACAAACTCATAATCAAGATGGTGATAAAATGCGTCCCTGCTCTAATGATGCCCGTCATATTAGTGTTTAAAGCACAGCAATTTTTCACACACATTAAAGGAGATACTGCTTCGAGGAGTATGCTGTTTTGAATATCAGGAAAAATTTGATTTTGAATAATTCCCTAGTGATTTATCGTGGCATGACTTTCCATTTTGAAGAAAAAGTTGTTGGAAGGAATTCATGAAGTGGCTTTACTGGAAATCGAACGAGGAGTTCCACTGAGGGAAGATTGTTGGGTTGTGCAAAGTCCTCAGTTCACTTTCCTGCAACTTTTATAAACCTGTGCTAAGCTTTTGTCTGTTCTTCGACATACATCATTAGAGCGAGAATCCATACTTTACGATATAGCGCAACAATATATTGCGCCTTTTTACTTGGTTTAGTATAACGTTGCACTATTTCGTAAAGTATGGATTCTTGCTCTGATGATGTCTGTCACAGTAGAGACGGAAGCACATGTTAATCGGAATGGCAGGACGTTGAGCTAAGGACTTCTTCGCACAATCAAACAGCCTTCGTTCCACCGCAATCCTCCTTCGGTCTCCACTGAGAGCATTTCACGAATTCCTTCACACCAACTTTTCCTTCGAAGTGGCATGTCACGTCACAATCAATATTAGACCAAGATGGGTATTCTGTCTCTATGAGATAAAATCGAAAGTCAACTCAACGCTACCTCTTAGAACTTGCTAAGTTATCCCATAATTTTTCGTTTATAAGTCAGTTTTCTGGACCACCAATAGATCATATATATGAGATGTATGAACCCTATTGGGCTCAAGGTGTTTAAATACTGGTAGTTAAATTTTCCCACATTGATATGAGTAGGCATTACATTACCATTGAATTTTACTTAACCTTGCTTCCCAAAAGGTAGCTTTATACAGGATGAACAGCCGTTTCTATTTCCCTTAGGTCTCATTGGCGCTTCAAGCGAAACACAAATCCTGATAGTGCAGGCGCAATATATTGTTGCGCTATATCGTAAAGTATAGATTTTCGCTCTGATGATGCATGTCGCAGCGTCGCGAGTGCACTTGGGTCACTTGGCAGATGGGAATTTTAAGGTAGATCAGACCTTTTCCCATATCATATTCTGGGGTGGAATTTTCGATGAAGCAAAGTTGTCTACAGTCGATTACCACAGCAAACACAACTTTACTTCACCGAAAATCCCACTTCATAATCTGATATGTAAAAAGGTCGGGCCTACCTTAGAATTCACATCTGCCCTCTGACCCAAGTACAATCGTGGCAGTGGGGCTTAGTGGTTAAGATTTCAATATTATTTGCTGTAAACTAACACTTGCCTA